ACTTGCTTATTTCACTGAATACTTCTCAAGTTTCATCTAAAGTTACAGAATGTGCCAGAATTCTCTTCCTTAAGGCAGAATAATATTCCATTATATATACATATTATAGATTGCTTATCCATCAGTCAATGGACACTTGAATAGCTTCTACTTCTTATTGTGAATCTTTTTATTTTTCACATGCTAAAACAAAATGGCTGATTTATTGCCTCTTGCTTTTCTTTCCTTTTTTTTTTTTGCCGGTCGTGGGGCTTGAACTCTGGGCTTGGGTGCTGTCCTTCAGCTCTTCAGCTCAAGGCGAGCACTCTTACCACTTGAGCTACAGCACTACTTTTGGTTTTCTAGTGGTTTATTAGAGATAGGAGTCTCACGGACTTTCCTGCCTGGACTGGCTTTGAACCGCGATCCTCAGATCTCAGCCTCCTGAGTAGCTAGGATTACAGGCGTGAGCCACCAGCACGTGGCTTTGCCTCTTGCTTTTCAAGTTTAACTAATGATGTTATCCAAAGGTAAAGAGCTCTGCAGATCAGGTATAACCTTCTCAAGGGAAATCAACAGTGTGCCAAATTAAGTGTTGGACCTTGCCAGGTATGGTGATTCATACCTGTGATCCCAACACATGGGAATCCAGGATTATGAGGTTGAGGCTAGTCTGGGCTTCACAATAAACAACAAATCCTAGACTCCATAATTGCAATCTGGGTTCCACGTCTTACTATGTGACTGACCCACAACATATTCCCAGGATTGTCCCAAAGACTAGGGTTGTTATCTGGAAAAAAACCAACCAACCACCCAACCAACCAAAAAAACCAGGCTTCTTCCTAGCTCCCTAATTTGTGGAAGATTCAGAGCAGATCACTGGGAATGAAAAGCATTTATTTGTTCAGCAGCATCCATCATGTCTGTTCTCATTACTTATGTCTTGGTCTTTGACAGGTTCAGAATCCAACAGCAACCCCTGAACCCTGGGTTCCTACAAATGTGTATTCAACCTGAATTCTGAAAAGTAGGACTCTTGACCGCCACTGATTGCTCTAGAGGAGGCAGAGGTAGAGGGAACATTTTTCAATACAAGTTTCCTTTTCTCTTAAATACACGTCCAACAATAGCTGCTGGTACCACCTGGTGGCAATTTGTATAAATGTTCAATGAAAATGAAAAAAAAAATTCTAGGACTGGAACTTGAACTCAGGGTCTGATGCTTTTGTTTGAAAGGCTGATGCTTAGCCGGGCGCCGGTGGCTCACGCCTGTAATCCTAGCTACTCAGGAGGCTGAGATCTGAGGATCACGGTTCAAAGCCAGCCTGGGCAGGAGAGACCATGAGACTCCTATCTCCAATAAACCACCAGAAAACCGGAAGTGGCGCTGTAGCTCAAGTGGTAAGAGTGCTCGCCTTGAGCTGAAGAGCTGAGGGACAGCGCCCAGGCCCAGAGTTCAAGCCCCACTACCAAAAAAAAAAAAAGAAAGGCTGATGCTATATCATTTGAGCCTTACCTTTAAACTCAGGAATTAAAATTTTGATAGTGGGCTCAACAATATACTCTTCTAGGATCTCCAAGGACTTCATCTGCAGGTTTTTAAATGGTAGCTTTCAAGCAGAGGTACTCAGTCATGCTGTGTACCAAAATCACCTGGCAGAATTTTTGTAATATAGATTTTTTCTAGCTTCACAACAGTTGGGATGGGGGCAGTGGTGTCAGGCACAAACAGTGATAAGGAATACAGAGTTCCACTCTGATGCAGGGGTGGGGGAGAGAGGGGAGGCAGAGGGAGGAGGAACAGAACAAAGGCATTCACTGTCTACTTGGGAAGACAGGCCAAGGAATGAGTAAAATTGCACTGTGTTATATTGTTTTCTAGATGGAAAACATGATTGAGGAGCTCTAACCGAAGTGAGAAAACTCAAATTCCACACATTGTCAGCTGGATGTTCAACTGTGGTTTGAACATTTTACCAATGAAAGCTGTAAACATAGCTCTCCTATAACTTAGCACAGGCAATACTTTTTAATGAAGGATATGCAATTCTCAAAACTAGCCAAATTGGCCGGAGCGTGGAGCTCAGTGGCAAAGCCCTTGCCTAGCATGTACAAGGCCCTGGATTTGATTCCCAGACCCCTCCCCCCACAAACCCAAACCCCAACGCAAACCCAGCCAAATTAAGCCAAACCACACTCGTTCTCTTGGCATAATGTTTATTTAAAGTTATATTTCAGGGTAAATACATCATTACCAGGAGGCACTCAGCCTGTGCTGGGCAACTGTAATACATCCAGAAATTTTATAAAATATTTCTCATACAATATAAATTACCAACAAACTACAGATAGACTCTTGTATGACAAAATTTCCAAGTACTTAAAAAAGTTAAAAGTTAGTTGATATTTAAAATGTTAAATCCCCCAAAGTAACTGAATGGCTGAGAATGTGAGAAGACGCTGGTCTCAAGGATGTATCTGCAGACATGTTCCTTAAGCACAGCTTTACAATTTTGAACTGCACAACCCAGCTGGAATTCAGAGAGCCCCTGATGGCTATTAGGTTTCAAACCATCCTTTTTGCAGGAAAAGTCATACTTCAAAAAGGCAATGGTTGTACCATCATTCCTCCTCCCCTCCTCCCTCCCCCTTTTGGGGCTGTATCATAAATCTTTTAGAAAATGTTTTGTTTTCACAGCTGCAGTTTTCACTCCTTCCATTAGATGGCAGTATGATACCATCTTTGGTTTTATTGGGTCACAATGAAGAAGGCCCAGGGAAAGCCCTGCTGCAGAGCATCGTTTCTTTAGCTACAAGTTAGTAGGGTACAAAAATTGAAAATGCAAATAATGAAGAATGACTTTGAACTAGTGCTGGTAATGGGAAATAAGATAAAAAATGAATGAGAGCTATCTGGGAGGACTGTAGCAAAGGAGAATTAAGTATGGGCGTTGGGTTCATTCCTGTTAAGAGTGAAGGGAAAACAAGGTAGTAGCTTTGACTAAAAAAGGGCTGTGTGTGTGTGTGTGTGTGTGTGTGTGTGTGTGTGTGTGAAAGAGAGAGAGAGAGAGAATACAAAGGCTTGAACTCAAGGTCTTCACTCTTGCTTGGCTTTCTTGCTGACAACTGAGGCTCTACCACTTGAGCCATGCTTCTAATCAGTTTTTTGCTGGTTAAGTCTTTTCAACTTTTTTGCTCCAGCTGGCTTAAAACCATGATCCTCTAGGGCTCAGCTTCCTGAGTTGCTTTGATTATAGGTGTGAGCTACCATTCTGGGCCCAAAGGGACATTTTAATGTATCCCCCTTTAAAAAACAACTGAAGAATGTCTTATAGTTATTATTCTGAATTAACTATTAAGATATATCCAACAGTAAAAGCCAGTAAAACCACTTCTAAATTCAATTAACAAGTCAGCTGTTTCCACCTGATTTTCTTTACAGATTCTGTCTACCTTCCCATCCTGTAGTAGAGGCAAATCAGCAAAGCACAGATTTTAAATAGCAGGGAATAAAATCCCCTTTTATAAATGCTTTTATGAATAACTTAAAAAAGACAATTCTGTCCTCATTAGAGTAGGTTTATTAATACTTGTATAACTATCAACATCTCTCCACCATTTTATTCCTAATCTAAATATACATGGTTTCAGTTGTTGAAATCTATCCTGTTAGAAACAGCTATCGTATCAAGGGAAATAGAAATGTCTGTTGCATCTTTAAAAAAAATTTTTTTTTCTTTTTGTCCAGGCTGACCTTGAACACCTGGGCTTGAGTGATCCTCTGATCTCAGACTCCTGGATAGTTAGCCAGAATTTCAGCCTCTCTTGGGGTCAGACACACTACTAGTACTCCATGAGACCTCCCACCCCCTGTCCTTACAGACCTGAAACTACCAACTCAGTACCCTGAAACAATTGTTACAAAGGAGAAAAAACAGACAGAGCTCCGTGGATGCGAAATTCAAAGCAGGAGAATAAGAATTTACCAAAAGACCTTATTCTTTCCAGAAAATATTCTGGGAAACAGAATTAACTCAAAAGAGTGAAGACCATAGGAAAATACTTTCATCATGATAAAAATAACAAAAAAGCTAAAACATCCGAGCTGGGAGAACCTGTCACTGAGCCTAAGATCAGCTGGCCCAGGAGGCTTAACAAGGAAGCCATTAGGGACACCCTGCTGGGCCTAATTGTTTTAGAACATATGGTACTTATGTCACCACCCAGCTGTGAATTCTCTGGCTTTTGTCAGCTTGTGTCACAAACTAAGAAGAACATAGTCACTTAACATCCCCCTCACTGGCCTTCCTCGAATTTACTACATTTCTGCCTATTATAAACCCCTGTGCAATTGTAAAGTAACGGGACTAAATGAAGACTCTGCATCTCTTCCACTTGTAATTATATAAAGAAAGTAGCAAACTTTCCACAGAAAAACATATAGAAGAAACACAGCCCTGGATATAGGATAGAAGCTCAATAAATACTTCAGTGTATCAGGCCTGCTTTCAAACATCATTTTCATTATACATTCATTACAGTTGCTGGGTATAGGCCAACAGTCATTTAATGCACAAAGAAAAATTTTATAAAGCTTATTGCATTTGTTAAATAAAGCTAAGTAAAAAGGTTTAATGATCAGAATGATAAACTAAAAATAAGTTTAATACAAAGAATAACTTGTCTACAGACCAAAATAAATATTTGTTGAATGAAACTGTAATGACGAATGCTGAAAATTGGAAGAAAAAAAAAACAACTTCCTGTACTAAAGACATAGTACATGAAGCAATATATACTATACAGTTAAAAATTCTAACAATACTTTAAAAACATTTTTTATTAATAAACATTCTTTTTTTTTTTTTTTTTTGTTAGTCGTGGGGCCTGAACTCTGGGCCTGGGTGCTGTCCTTCAGCTCTTCAGCTCAAGGCTAGTGTTCTACCACGTGAGCCACAGCGCCACTTCCAGCTTTTCCTGCTTATGTGGTGCTGAGGAATCGAACCCAGGGCCTCATGAATGCAAGGCAAACACTACTACTGAACCACCTTCCCAGCCCTAATAAAAATTCTTGAAAGGTCCTCTTTGATCTTTTTAAAACCAAAGATGATACAAACTTTGAACATCAAAAGCAGCAAGGAAATTTAGTAACCTCTAAAGCACAACCAAAAAATAATACTTAATAATTAGGAGAAAATATTTTCCTAAAAAGCAATTCAATGTTTTGTATGTATTTGAAGGAAGCTACAGAAGTGACCATGCCATTAATATCAGTCAGCACATTTGCATCTGGACCAGTTTTGAGAAGATTACAAATCCCGGAGCTAGAAACAGCTGTTTAGGTTCTTGAGCCACTTGCCATAGACATCACCTCACACAGTCTGCCATTCCCACGAGATTTTCACAGTAAATAGACTGGTGATAAGAGTTCACAATAACTCAGAGACATAACAGTACTACGACTACCAATAGCTTAAGGAATAGTGGAGACAATGTCCAAGTCTTTTAAAATACTTTTGTATAGTGTAAACTGGTCCATTGTGTTCAGGAGAGAATCTTTGCCAATTCTACAGATCTAGTTTATAGGATGGGATCCAAGGCTGTAGCTCAAAAAAAAAATACTAAAAATACAGAGCCAATCTTATTTCAGAGACAAAAGTTAAAGATGATCCTATGACAACTAAAATGCCCAAAGGGAAAACAAAAAGATAATCTGAAATTCTATATAATTACCCAATAAGAAAACAGCTGTTGAGCTTCAGAATTAAAAAAAAAAATGAAGTCTTCAGGAGTATATTTTATCCTATATAATACAAAATTACCACAAGGACATCAATGCTAATGATATCAGTGATTCTTAAGTTTGATGCATCTTAGATTATTCATCATCGAAGAACAATGAGAAAGTCCATAGAGATTGAAAAGTCTGACCAACAAAATAATCTTTTTCTTTTTGCCAGACCTTGAAGTTGTGAATCTGCATGAAGGCCAGAGCTGAGTTAGGGAACTGGAGGAAGACATTTTCTTCCTCAGGGTTCACATTTTCTATCGTCCACCCACTTACCCTAAAGGGTCATCACTATATACTCTTCAGATCACATGACCACAGAAATGGTCTTCTGTTGGTTTAAGGCCCAAGTATTCCAGGGAACAACTTAATGTTCCTAACTTACTTTTCCTGAGGGTAAAATGGCAAATGGAATTCCTGCTCTAGAGGAGAGGACAACAGTTATACTGTGCTTTCTGATAGTATAGCTACTTAGCAAACCAAAAAAGAATGGGTAAGAAATCAATAGTCTTGGAAGGGAGTCAAGACCAAAGATTTCCTCACTTAAGCATCTGATGACTCCCACTCTGCAGGAGGTGTAAGGCAGAGTTGTCTGCCTGGTCCACTGAGATGCAGGTTGTGTGCTGCTGACCTCTTCGGTGCCAGAGGCCCAGGGCTCTCGTCAACTGAACTTCAGTGAAACTTGCTATACACACCTTAGTGAAGCTTGCTGTGCACGGGGTAGAGGAGGGTCATATGTTCTGCCCCTTTGAAAGGCAACTTTTCATTGGAATAGTAGTGTACCACTTCAGGGATGCTGTCAAACACAGCGCTTGTCTGATTCAGTGTGTATTTGTTGTCTTTTGTCTGAGCCACTATGATGTGGACACATCCTTGACTAGTCCTGGAGCAAAACAAAAATCAAGGAGGAGACATGAATGAGCGAGCAGATCCCTCCCCACTGAAAACAATCCCAGGGGATTTGCAATAGGTTGACAGGTCCTCTTCCATTCCTGGAATTGTTTTACACCAATAGCAATGCATTTGGACACTTTAGCAACATTCCAGCTGAGCTCTCGGAAGTTCTGTAGCCTAAACGCATGGCATCCTTGAGTTGTTTACCCTTATTACACATGAGTCATCAGGTACAGAACCAAAAGAAAAGCCAAGTCCTTTCTATCCCCCAAATGGCAAAACGAATGTGTCTGCGGCTGCCAAAGTAGTTTATGTTCAATCTCCTTGCCATTGCTAAAAGGAAACATGTGAAGTTTCTTCCTTATTTACCCCCAATGGAGCACAATAACACAACAACAACAACAACAATAATCTATTTCCTCCCTCCTCTCCCCAGCACCTATGTGGAAAGACCATTCCTGATGTATATAATGACAACTGGTTCTGAAGGCTCATAGATTTAATCCACAAGCGCCCATTTCAGGAACACAGTAGAGCTATTCCTGGTATTGTGTATCTGGTAGCCTATCCCATTTTCTGAACCATGTTGCCCACGCTCCCATCCCCCCCTCTTTTCCCCTCCAGTCTGATTGTTTCAGCTGCAGGGGCTCAGCTTCCTCAGGAAGGAAATGCTGTTAGGGCTCTTGACAATGATCCTCCAATATAGTGCCACAGGACTCACAGAGCAGCGAGAATTTCCATGATCCACACTCCACCAGGCCTACTAGGCAAAAGTGAATTCTCTGTACAATTAGACAGAGGGAGCCATAGGCAAGTCAGCATTTCCTTCTTCACCAGAAGAAGCTGGTATCAAAGATGCAGTTGGCATTTTGACAATCAAGTGATCAGGTTTATTGAAGTTCCTAGTACCAAGGAAGAAGAGTAACTGAACTAATTTGTAAGAAATGATCCCCTTTACCAGGAATGCTTTCTCTGCTGAGAATGATTTCTCTATGAGAGGCCTTCTTAGATCAGGGAATGTAAGGGAGCAGTGGACTAACGTACAATGATAAATGAAATAGGACCTTCATTTTCATATTAGATATTGGAAACTTTACCCAATACCATTCTGATCACAGTGTTTCATGTTCAAATGCATCTTATTTTCTGATGATTCACATGCCTCGGAACCACCTTCAAATTCTATGTTTTGACCAGTCATCTGCTCCTGGTAGGGAAGGTTGTCACAGTGCACCCTTCCCTTAAGATCAGGCAGCACATGAAGTTGCTGTACTTACTTCAGAGCAATGGAGTACCTGCTGTTCCCTGATTCACTGTTTCGAACGAGGTAACCAGCTTCTCTGCAGGGTTGGAGCCGACTCTCAGCCTCAGCCCGGGTAATGGTGCCATGATACCAGCTAACCAGTGGGGGGATTGAGAGAGAAGGGGAGGGCCATGAGTGTCAAATGCAAATCTGGAGTGCACTTCATTCTGTGAAGTGTTGTTTGTGATGAACCTCTGAGAGAAGCTCAGGAGCTTGACCTAGATCCTGCTTTACATTCGGAATAGACCAAGCTTGGATTTAGGTGATCCTGGATCACAAAGCCTGTCAATTATATGAGAATGAATCAAGAGGGCTAGAGCCATTTGAAGAATTTTTACTCTATTTTAGAGAATGAGACTTAAGCCAAGGTTCTCCAGATGCAGTACCTTTTCCCTTCCTCACAAATGCCCTGGGCTTGGAAGATGAGTATTCCTGAATAAATCCCACTCAGAGTATTCATGAACAAAATGGGTTAGGGCACCCTGTTCCACACAGACCATCAATAAACTCACAGGGCTCACACCTCCAACCCTAGCTACTCAGAAGGCTGAGATCTGAGAATCAAGGTTCAGAGACAGCCCAGATGGATAAAACCATGAGACCATTATCTCCAATTAACCACCAAAAGTGGAGCTGTCTCAAGGTAGAGCTCTAGCCTTGAGCACAAAAGCTCAGGGACAAAGCCTAGGCCCTAAGTTCAACCCCAGAACTGGCAAAAAAGAAAAAGCTCAGAGGGAGATTAAGCTTCAGGGTGAGCGGAAGACACTCACGGCTGCTTCTCCAGGGGCAGGCCTGGGTCCACCTTCTCGCCCTCGCTGTGGTCTGACAAGGTTGGCTTCAAGATCTTCTGGGTCCAGCTCTTCTGTCGGTGGTGCTGCCTTACTGTCTCCTCCCGGCCGGAAGCTCGCTCAGATCCTTCAAACTGGACTGGAAGGGAGACTCCGTTTAATATCAGAGACCACGGGCAACCTATGAGACCTTCAAAGGGGAATAAAACCTCCTTGCCTGCCTTAGCTTAGGGAGGCAGAATTTTCTCCTTCAATGTGAGCTCCAAACTGCTGCAGAAAGCCCTGGGCAGCTGAGCTTCCGCTGTCCCTGATGTGTGATTACACCACGGCATCCCACATACAGCCACTGTCCTTAAGATGCCCATCAGCATAAAACAGCATCACAACACAAGAGGAAGCCACTTGGATAGCTTCAGCTCCGACTCTCAAAGAACTCCAGCTTTAGTATGATTTAGAAAAAAACAAGACTAAAAGTAGCTACATTTAGTGAAGAGTGCTCTATCATTCTACAAAATCAAGTTGAGTGTTTATTACAAAATAATGAAAGAAAAAAAATCAACTCAGGAAGAGAAGGAAACCATGAAATAATACCTTCTAGATACCATGGCAGAGGGTGAGAAGGTAGAGAATTAGCCAGGCACCGGTGGATCACGCCTGTAAGTCTAGATTCACAGGAGGCTGAAATCTGAGGAATACAGTTCAATGCCAGCCTGAGCAGAAAAGTCTGTGAAACTCCTGCCTCCAATTAACCACCACAAAGCTGGAAGTAGTTGTGACTCAAGTGGTAGAGCACTAGCTGTAGGCAAAAAAAGCTCAGGAACAGCACCCAGGCCCTGAGTTCAGGCCCTGAGTTCAAGGACCAAAACTTGAGTGTGTGCACGCACGCACGCACAAACACACACACACACACACACACACACACACAGTAGAGACCCAGTGGCAGCATCTAAGACTAAAATTACACTAAAACAGACTCAAATGTTTGCTTCCAAGAATATTAATTCTCATCCTTTACATTGGCTCTAGTTAATTTCAAGCCTGACTTTACTACTAAAGGGGAAAATTTTTAAATCAAAGGTAAAAGAAATAAGTAGCAGCCACATGGAAAAACTATATCCTATTAAAAGCAGGAGAGATAAAGGGATAAACTACCTTTAATATTTGTTGACAACTTATCAGTACTTTTCTCTGAAATTACTTAAACATACACACCAAATCTTGGCAATGGTGGCTCATGCCTGTACTCCTAGCTGCTTGGGAGGCTGAGTCCAAGAATATGAGGCCAGCCCGGGGTGACAGATACACATCTTGTCCCTGCAAAAAAACAAGTCTACATATTTTTGAGGACTCCAACTCCTGTCTCAGCCTCTCTTGGTGCTGGGATTACAGACATGCATTACTATATGCCTGACTGTGAACTGATTCCTGAAGGAAGATTTTTCTTTTCTTAAACAAAAGAAATAACGTAGTTTCAAAACTACAGGCATGAGTGGCACGCTTGTAATCCCAGCACCAGGGAAGCTGAGGCATGAGGATGAGGAGCTCAGCTCAAAGCCAGCCTGGGCTACAAAAGCGAGACCTTGTCTCAAAAAATAAAAGTCAACAAAACAAAAAGCAGAGCTGGATATCACTGCCTCATGTCTATAATCCCAGCTTCTCAGGAGGCTGAGATCTGAGGAATGAGCTTTGAAGCTAGCCTGGTAAGACAAATCTGAGAAACTCTGATCTCCAATTAACCAGCAAAAAGCCAGAAGTGAAAGTATAAACAAAACAAAAGAAACCAACAAGATAAACTAAAATCTAGTTTCATCCAGCTTTCCAACCATATTCATCTATAATCTATTTTATCTAGTTCTGATATTTTATTTTAACTATCATTAGTTGCCAGGTAGGTGTTCTACCACTTGAACCACTGCCCCTCAGACCTTATTTTTGTTATTTTAAGAACTTGCAAGCTGGTGGCAATGGCTCATGCCTGTAATCCTAATTACTCAGGAAGCTAAGGTCTGAGGATTGCAGTTCAAAGCCAGACTGGGCAGAAAAGTCCCTGTGAGACTCTTATCTCCAATTAACTACTCAAAAACTGGAAGTGGTGCTATAGAGCATTAACCTCAAACACAAGGAGACTCAGGGACATTGCCTAGGTCCTGAGTTCAAATGCCACAACCAACAGAGAAAAGAAGTATCTATTTTGAGACAGATTCTCAGTATGTAGCCCAGGCTGGCCTAGAATCGATAGGTAGCCCAGACTGGTGTGAATACCTCAACTTCTAGAATGCTGAAATTATAGGCATGAACTACCACACCTGGCTCTTGTCATTTTATTTATTTTTTTTTTGGGGGGGGGGTCTGGTCGTGGGGCCTGAACTGTGGGCCTGGGCGCTGTCCCTCAGCTCTTCAGCTCAAGGCTAGTGCTCTACCACTTGAGCCACGGCGCCACTTCCGGCTTTTTTCTTTTTGCTTATGTGGTGCTGAGGAATGGAACTCAGGGCCTCAGGCATGCAAGGCAAGCGCTCTACCACTGAGCCAACTTCCCAGCCCCTCTTGTCATTTTATAACAAAGGATTTAACAGGTTTGATGAGTAACAAAAAGTTCGAAAAAGCTGCTACCAGGGCTGCAGTTGTGGCTTAAATGACAAAGTACTGCTACTTGCCTAACAAGTAAGTACAAGGCCTCTGAGTTCAAACCCCATTACCAGAAAAAGAAAAGCTGCTCCCAAGTTGATCCAAGTTGATAAATGCAGTGTGAGGAAAAATAAATATATAGTGATGAGATAGGTCTTTCTAAAATTCTCTGCAGGCATCTGTAAATCAGTTGCATATTGAGAAAGGAGAATAAAGGTAGCTATGTGGATAAAAATATGAAAGGTGCAACTTTACTCCTAGACTTTCAGTCAGGGCTAGATTCTTGTTTCCCTATTCCTTGAGGAAAAGAGCCGCAGTGAAGAACATAAAGGAAATGGACTTAATACAACATTCAAAATCATTTCTTTTGGCAATTTTGAAATGAGCCTTATTGTTAGCCTAGTAACCCTTCCATGGAGTAGACCAGCAGTTACTGCTCCTATCGAATGTAACTTCTTCGTCTGACCAACCTCTCCCTTTCCCTCCTCCCTACACCTTCTTCTGCCTCTGGGGACCAGTGTTCTATTCTGGATTTCTGAGATCAGCTTTTTGAGAATGCCCAAGTGAGTGCTCCTGCTGGGATAATTGTTTGAGATGATGGATATATTAATTACCCCGATTTGATCATCACATGAGGAATCCATGTATTGAAGCATAACATTATTCCCAATATGTCTGTACACTCACTTTGTGCCAATTAAAATGACTAGTTTTGAGTGGAAGACACTCACCTGACAGTGCACGTACAATCTGCTCCCTCTTCCATTCCCATGGCTGCTCATACTCGGCCGCAGGCCTCTCGTCATCCTCAGGTAGCCGGCTGTCTGAGGGCCAAGCCTTAGTCTCCACCCGTGAGCCCCCCTCGGCTGGCTCATAGGGAGTGTCATAGAGCTGGGGCGGCTTCCCCAGGAGGTCCTTGGAACTCCTTCTCTTGGCCAGTGTCTCTGACTTGGTGCTGCCATTATCCCCTGGTTCACAGGGGCTGTCAAGCATCTGGAGAGCCTTCACCAGGGGGTCTTTGGAACCTCTGCGCCTGATTTCTGGAAGAGACATCACACAGGTCACATAGAATGCCTCAAAAGAAGAGATGCAGGAGGCTCTTTTACCTCTGATGGGTTTGTGTGTTCAAAGGCGACAGATGAGATTGTTCCTTAATAGGCAGTACAGAAATGCTAGGGAACCTTTCCTTCTAAGTTGCCTGGGAGCTATAAAGGGATTGACTCTTAGGAGGAGGCTTAACATCTGAAGAGAGGTAGCCCCAGATGCCCTCACAGTTAGCTGGTAAGACATGGTCTCAGGGTAATCTGTTTAGCTGCCAGCTCCTGGTGTCTAAGTTCACTTTCAGTTTTTACATCTGTTAGCAACCTAGATCAAAGTATGTTACTAAAAAACTGGTGGAATATTTATGATAGAGCACTGCCCTAAATATACCTGGGAAGCTGTTATGTGCATGAGAATTCTTGACTTAGTCTCAGTATACTGGGAAGCCAGGTAACATTCATAAATACTTTTCCAGGGCAGTAAGAGCAAGGTAAATTCAAGCAAGAGGTCTTATGGAGAAACAACTACACTACAGCTACCACTGTAACTTTCACAACCACTCTGAGATAGATAGATATTATGATTTCCTCAATCCTAAAGAAGAGAAAACTAAGCACAAAGAGGTTACAGGAATGGTCTGAACCAGGAAGTGGCAGAGCCTAGAGTCAAAAGCAGGAAGTTGGAGGCTACAAGTCATACTCTGAGCCACTACATTTGGATTGGTTCCAAGTGGAAGAGAAATGGAAGAGGGTTGACTTTGCTAGAGAAGGTCATTTCCAGTGGAGGAAGCTGACGAGTGAAGATATGGAGATGGGAAATGTAAAGGGCCTGTTTCCATATAGAGGAGTTGAGAGAAAAGTGTAAAGGGCAGAAGACCAGAGAATAAAAATGTAGTGGAAAAAGCAGCAGAAAAAAGTAGGAGAGCCAGGAAAAATGTAGATGTTTTAAAAAGGAAAAAAACAAAACAAAACAACAATGTTTGGATTGCACCATATGCAATGCAAAACCATTAAGCCTTTTTTTTTTTTTTTTTGTCGGTTGTGGGGCTTGAACTCTGGGCTTGAGCGCTGTCCCTGCACTCTTCAGCTCAAGGCAAGCGCTCAACGTACCACTGGAGCTGCAGCACCACTTCTGGTTTTCTAGTGGTTAACTGGAGGTAAGAGTCTCACGGACTTTTCTGCCCAGGCTGGCTCTGAACCGTGATCCTCAGATCCCAGCCTCCTCAGTAGCTAGGATTACAGGTGTGAGCCACCAGCGCCTGTCTCATTAAGCCTTTTAAAAAAACAACAACAAAAAAAAACCAGGGAATAACAATTATATTTGTGGTTCACTGGAAGACAACTTGAACTACAGTGTATAGAATAAACCAAGAAAGTATGAAGTACAGAAATATGTGGGAAAATCCTCAGATAAACCAATTCCCTGTTAATAGCCAGCCACAGTGGACTAGAACAGGTAAGTGTCTAGGATTGACTGACCAATCTGGGGTTCAGAGCCCATGCCAGGATGAGTTGGAGATAACTATGGTGTGGGTAACCTTAACTGGCAATATAAGCAACAGAATCATCATGCTTGTGGCTCTTCTAAATGCCTACCAGGGAGCCTTCAATCCACCCTCTACCTGGCCAACATTTCCTTCTAAAGTATAAATAGCCCTGTATGACATAAGAGGCCTTCTCCGGTTAGACCATTTTTCTCTCTCTCCAATTTCTTCTCAATCTCTCACTCCTGTAAATCTTTTTGCTCTAATGAACTTCTGAAGTTCCTACACTGTCTTATGTCTACAGTGACTGGTAATCTATCCTCTGAAGTCTAACTCTGCATTCCTCCTCTGTGCTCACCTTCCTCTCCAATGGCCCACAGAGCTGATCAGGTACTATGGCGATGCCCACAGCTCCCACCTTGTACTTTTCCCAGTGTGACAGACCTAGGTCTCCAGTGTGGTGGAGAAGGCCGGTATAAGACCATCACCCATGTTTATGTTGGTAGGATGCACAGTTAAGCAATGATTGGATGAATAGATGAATGGGCGAGCACTACACCTTCTCCAGGCAGGCAACAATGTGGATCTGCAGGTCTATGCCAAAGACATTCTCACAATGCATCATTATTAATCCAGTGGAAATAAAAGCAAGTGCTGGAGAAAGAAGGGCAGACAGGGAAGGAAGGCGATCAGAGGCAGAACCTGGGATTCTAGTGAAGGGTGACAGGAAGAAGCAGAGCCAGCAAAGAAGGCTGAAAACACTGATATAAGCAGGAAGAGGGTCAAAAGACCCCAGGACTGAATGAACAAAGAATGAAAGGACTTTCTCCTTGCAACTTAAAAACAAGCATCTCATGGATACTCCTTGGAGGAGAATCATGGACTCATTATGACTTCTACAAGGAAAAGGACAACAGATTAGAGGGTTATTCCAATCGGGACACTAACTCAAAGGGTAAACTATTTCTAGGGCAAGGTTACAATTCTACAGGATTAGGGTCCTTGTCAGCAGCTGCCTCTGAATTCCAGGCTCATTGTAATCACTTGGGTGGGTCTCATCATCAGAGACCTTGCTATCAGAGGGTTGGGATTCAGCCTGAGAGTCAAGGGTAAAAATTCCCCCATGTGATGCTAAGGAACAGCTAAGTTTGAAGATCCATTCCTCCTGGGTCCCATGTCCCCACCTTACTTCCTTCTGATCTCTGGGAATTTTTATCTCCTGTCTAGCTCCATCCCCAGGAGAAGGGAAATACCTGCCTCTAAAACCTCCACATCATAACAAGATGCCATGAACGAATGCTGGCAGGATGAACTCTCACCGCAGGCCAGGCTAGGCCAAGCCCAGGTTGTAGGAGCTCAGAGCTGCACCTCCAGTCCAGTCTGTTGACTTTGAATTCTGTATCTTTTCTTCTCCATTACCTATTTTAGATGGAGCCATGGAAAACAAGAAACAACATGCTCTGTTTTTGGTTCAATTAAGATAAGGCAGGCATTAAAAAAAAAAACCTTTTCTAAAGAATTAAGAAAAAGGAAGTGGAACACAAAAGAAATTCAAAAGATGAATTTAGAAATTTTTTTTGGTAGGTTGTGGGGACTGAACTGTGGGCCAGGGTGATGTCCCTGAGCTCTTCTTCAGCTCAAGGTGAGCACTGTACCACTACAGCTACGGAGTCACTTCTGGTTTTCTGGTTAATTGGAGATAAGATTTTCACGGATGTTCCTGCCCGGGTTGGCTTTGAACCACGATCCTCAGATCTCAGCCTCCTGAGTAGGTAGGATTACAGGCGTGAGCCACTGGCACTCAGCTGAATTTAGAATTTTTAGGTTTCTAATCATTCATCAGAATTTGTTTACCCTCAGTTTAGACCATCTGGCATAAGCTGGGGAAAAGTCTTCCCTGAGATCCTGATTTCAATTCTTTCCACTTAAACTAAAAGGAAAAACCAAAAAGAGAAAGTTGATTTCAACTTTTAGAGTTATGCTCACAAGGAAATCTCAATAATTTTGCATTCAAATGGGGGTACAGAGATTAGAGTTCTAATTCCATGGGCTTGAATGTTCCCATTTGCAATGAGATCCTAGCAGTCTTTATTTCAGATGGTCTGTGAGCACTCAGGGTCTGGGAGATACACTGAGAAGCATGTAGCAAGGAATCCCTTCCTTGCATGGAAGGAATGCTTGCTTGGAATTGGACAGTATCTGCAAAGTAGTGCTATCATCTCTCGAAATAATGTTTAATTAGGGGGAAAGGGGTTTGAACACCTCCCCCTTTCAAGGAGAGTAACCTTCTAGTGCATTCCAACACCTGGCTGCCCCCAACCTGAGGTGCCATAGAAACAGAAACAATCATGAGGCTGCAAGCTGACCCTTCCTGCTGGGAGAATAGACCCTGACGTGCAGAGCTGGCTCAGAGAGGAAACGAGCCTGAGAAGGAGGAAATGGCAAGAGGAAGCTACACCCTGGCTGCCGATAGAGGCCATTTACTGAGACAGACAGCAGAGAGCAGAGGACGGGCAGCAGATAAACACTGGTTTGTAGCCCAGCTGAAAGCCAGAGCTGCCTAGCACCAATTAAGATGGCAACTGGTGGCTGTGAAGCCTAACAGGATGGAAAATTTCCTTTCTACTCCCCTGTTCTCATTACACATAATTATGGCATTCGCTTTTAAACGCATGGCAGAAGACCAGGACTTTCTTTTACTACATTAATTGTAGTTAGCAATTAGTTTCACTCTGTATTGTCTAGATATTCTTTAAGAATGGAACTGTCTTTGAGGTGTCTAAATAATGACTCTATATGTTGAATATGTCTTGTAGAGGTATGTCATATCTAGTATTTCACCAAGCTCAGAACACACTGATGGGTGTTATCCCCTTTGAACAGGTGAATGATTTACTTAATTATCCAATTAATTATTCAGACTACAGAGTCTAGGCTTTCTCTACCATACCTTACTTGATAGCATCGTTCTGAAAACCATTTCATACAAAACGTTAATTACAATTTAAAAAATGTATTTTCTCCCTAATTCCTTTCTTGTTTCCAAAACATTAAACACAGGACCTTATAAAGCATTTTCTTGTTGGAATCAGAAATAGGGCTGTTAGACAAAGTGTTTCCTCACATCTTTTATCAGCACTCAAGCTGCTGATTTTAAATTACTTTAGTATTTTCTTACCAAATAAATAGAAATATCTGAACAAAAGCAGGTAGAGGTCAGAAAAACTGAAATTTAGCAAGGAATGTGGGGACAAATAAACAAACACTAAAGACTGGGTTGTAGCTCAGAGGCTGTGCAAGTCATATCAGGCTCTGAACTCTGAGCTCCATCCCCAGCACCCAGGAAGGGGTAAGTCTTTGTGAGGTTTTTTTTTTTTTTTCCTGTCTGTAATAGCTTCTTCAATAAAGATCTAAATATTGAAGTTTTCATTTGAATTTGAGTGGCAAACAAATTAACAAAATCATCTGGAGGCAAAAATAAAATTTTATAACCATCGGTCTGGAGTTCAATAGTCA